TTCTCCTTTATTATTTGCATTTCAGGACTCTTGACAAAACTATAGATCTACAAGTTTCCATAGCACTTAACATACCTGAAAGCTTGTTTTTTTCAGCAGCACAGTGACTATTAGTAGGCAAGCACAACATAAATGAGATAAAGGACTGCACAACTAAGTAGCCTAATTTGTCCTCATTTGGGATTCGATCGAGGCTGGTTGGCTACTTTATTTTTCTCCTTTAGGCCATCTTCCTTGTTCGACCATCTTTCCTCCCCAGCCAACACTAACTGGAGGCAGTTGGGGGACTGTGGAGGTGGATGAAGAGCTCTAAGCCTGGGAAGCAATAAGGGGAGCTGGGTTAGGTACTGCACAGGGCCATGGAGGGAGCCTGAAACGGGCTATGATCGGGAAAAAGTCATTATTGTAAGTAAACACTAGGGTTGAGATACGCTATATTGCCAAAAGTATTGGAAACCCCTCCAAATCATTGGATATGGGTGTTCTAAACCTCCATGGCCACAGGTGTATAAAATCAAGCACCTAGGCATGCAGACGCTTCTACAAACATTTGTAAAAGAATGGGTCGCTCTCAGGAGCTCAGTGAATTCAAGCGTGGTACCGCGATAGGTTGTCACCTGTGCAATAAGTCTATCTGTGACATTTCCTTGTTACTAAATATTTCACGGTCACCTGTTAGTGGTATTATAACAAAATGGAAGCAACTGGCAACAACAGCAACTCAGCCACGAAGTGGTAGGCCACGTAAAATGACAGAGCGGGTCAGCGCATGCTGAAGCTCACAGTGCGCAGAAGTCCCCAACTGTCTGCAGAGTCAATAGCTACAGACCTCCAAACTTCGTGTGGCCTTCAGATTGGTACAACAACAGTGCGTAGAGAGCTTCATGGAATGGGTTTCCATGGCCGAGCAGCTGCACCCAAGCCTTACATCACCAAGTGCAATGCAAAGCGTTGGATGCAGTGGTGTAAAGCACGCCGCCACTGAACTCTGGAGAAGTAGAGACGTGTTCTCTGGAGTGATGAATCACGCTTCTCTGTCTGGCAGTCCGATGCATGTGTCTGGGTTTGGCGGTTGCCAGGAGAACAGTACTTGCCTGACTGCATTGTGCCAAGTGTAAAGTTTGGATGAGGGGGGATTATGGTGTGGGGTTGTTTTTCAAGGGTTGGGCTTTGCCCCTTAGTTCTAGTGATGGGAACTCTTAAGGCATCAGCATACCAAGACATTTTGGACAATTTCATGCCCCCAACTTTGTGGGAACAGTTTGGGGATGGCCCCTTCCTGTTCCAACATGACTGCGCACCAGTGCAGAATGCAAGGTCCATAAAGACATAGATGAGCGAGTTTGGGGTGGAGGAACTGGACTGGCCCACACAGAGTCCTGACCTCAACCCAATATAACACCTTTGGGATGAATTAGAGCGGAGACTGCGAGCCTGGCCTTCTCATCCAACATCAGTACCTGATCTCACAAATGTGCTTCTGGAAGAATGATCAAACATTCCTATAGACACACTCCTAAACCTTGTGGACGCCTTCCCAGAAGAGTTGAAGCTGTTATAGCTGCAAAGGGTGGGCCAACTCAATGTTGAGACTGGGATGCCATTAAAGATCATGTGCCCAAAGGTTAAAATTAAAAATATTAATTATGACTTACAAAGCCATCCACAACTCTGCCCCCGGCTATATCTCAAACCTGGTCTCAAAGTATCACCCTAACTGTCCCCTAAGTTCTTCAAATTACCTTCTGCTTTCCAGCTCCCTCGTCAACCCCTCCCATGCTCACCTCCAGGACTCCCTATATGGAACTCTCTACCCCAACCTCCCCCATCCTATGGAACTCTCTACCCCAACCTGTCTGTCCATCTCCCACTCTGACTGCCTTTAGGTGATCCCATAAGACTCATCTCTTATAAGCATTGTGGCGCTATATAAATTCTGTATAATGATAATAATGTGCGTGTAAAGGCAGGCGTACCAATACTTTTGGTAATATAGTGTATGAAAGAATCGACTCCCATTGGTATGCAGGCCTTATCCCAAAATTCAAGCAATTAAAAAACAAACAAACACGGGATTTCAGAAAAAGTTATATAAAATGTATTTCTTTCTTTAAAAAGCATACATACAGATGTAACAGTGGGTACAAGGTTCCCCCCTCATAAATTGCTACGACTACTACACACCATTATCCAATAGATAACCTGAAACCAAATCCTTCAGCTGGAATTATATTGTAACAAACATAATTTAAATTTTTACAGATGATTTTTAAGTTACATCCCTGAAGTCGAATAACCCTTTTCTCTGTTCTGTCAAACAGACCAATAAAAACGAATAACAAATAGTCAAATACATAAATTTATATACAAAAAAAACAAAAAAACTATTTTCCAGTGTCTATACACTCACAATTATAGCACAGAATATAAGCAACCAGAATAATTGAGGTTTCCATGTCAAACTAGAAGGGACAATTCTTCCTCCCAACCTAAAATGGTAATGTATTAAGAGATTGTAATGCAGGCTAGCTCTACTCCTAGTGCAGAGGCGTCAAACCATATTTTCAGGAAATGATTTGCACCTGTTTTCAACCAGGGCCAGGCAAACTTTGACCCTCCAGCTGTGGTGAAACAACAAATCCCATCATGTCTCTGGGAATCATGCCTGTGGCTGCCAGTCTTGCAATACCTCATGGGATCTGTAGTTCCACAACAGCTGGAGGGACGACGCTTGCCTACCCTTGGTTCAAACTATCACAACAACTCATTCATACGGATGGCCAATCTATTACAACTTCTCCCAATCATTAAAATGGCCATCTGTTTCTCCTAAGAGGCAACCAGGCACAAAATGGAGAACGAAGGAACTTCGATGCTCTCACCATAGGAGATTGTAAGAAGAACCTGCGGCTGTTTTTAGAGATAGCAAAACAAATGATTATCCGCGCTATAGTGCTCTACCTCTGTTTTTAGAGATAACTTAGTCCATTGGAAAAGCTATTGCAACCGGAATATAAAAAAATGAAAGCATTGGGCCAGAAAGATCTTTTTTTAAGTAGCTATTTCTGTTTTGGACAGGCCAAAGTTTTTTTTTATTTAACATTCTATAAAAAAAGATGTTGTAAATGTATAAATAAAAAAGGGGGAAAGCCAAAATAGGATATTTTTTTTTTAAATACATTTTTCATATATCAATATTAAGCTTTTAAACCAAAAACACAGCCAACATATGCAGACATTAGAATGAAGAATATTAAGATAGGAAACCTGTACCTTTAGGTCCCATTGATAGAATATGGCCTATTACTAGATTACTACTGGATTGGCTTGTCCGTATTTCAGTCTAGACATGTGCAATTTTTGTTCCGAATCACAATTTGGAGGAATTTTCCAAAATTTGGACACATCTGAATTTCCGAATCCCAATGTATCCGAATCCAAAAGCGAAACTGAATCGGACATGTGACTTTTCTTGCCAATCAGATGTGTTTTGGTTTAATGCATCCGAATGGGTCTGAACACGAATCTTCGTTATGGCAACATGGGAGCCGTATATAGTATATATATATATAAAATACTAAAGCTGAGGCTCCCAGACCCAAATGGCATTCGGGAGCTCCCAAATGCAATTCGGAAATTCGGATCCCGAATGCAATTCGGGTCCAGGAGATTCAGCTTTAGTATTAATATCTGTATATGGTTTCTGTGGCATTCGCAAAGAATATTCGTGAACTCATCCAAAACGAAAGAAAAACTTCCGAATCCGAAACCCGAACAAAATTGAATTTCGGATCCAAATCCTGAAACAACTAAATATCCGAACCGAATTTTCCCACAGCTTACATGTCATTTTCAGACCTTATGAAAAGGTCTGTGTTTTGCCCATACCAACCAGTCAGGTGCTAGCTTCTCCGTACAGAAGCATGAAAGTATCAATCTGATTGGTTACTATGCACAAGTAATAAACTAGCTGTATTGAGCAGTAAAATAAAACAATAAAAGTATTATGCTGGTCTACAAGCAACCCAGTCAGCAATATTCACAACTACATATAACATATAGGCCACATAAAAGAAAAACTAAATGGCCAAGCATCTCCCGCTGAAGGCATGAAACTAATTATTATATATCATCAAATAATGTTATGTGGAGCTCAGTATTCTACAGCCCTCTCCCAAAGCTTTTCTCATGGGTCTGACTAGAAATAATATTGGTTGTCCTAGGTTTACAGTCTATTACTGCTGCCCTTTGCACTGCCTAACTGAAGAAGCCTGCATGCTTATTTCTACCCCAATACGACTTCCGGCCATCACCACATTGTCGCTGCCCTTCCAACTGAACTTATAATGCATTGAATGGGCACAAATATGGCTTCCCTACTTCCTGAGAGAAAAATGTTATAATATGCTTGTTATAACCTGTGCTTGTTTGTCACACACTCGTCTACTGATCCCAAATTTGGCACCTCCGATAAATCCTCACCATATATACACACGCATACTGTAACTATATATTATATACGTAATAAGCTCATGTATACACATTTACAAAAGAGAAAAAAAAAAAAAGTTATAAAAAATATATTGCACTTCTTATATACATTCATGGGTGCAGGACTTGACAAGACCCATTATCGTTCTTCATATGCAAGGCAGTTTTAACAAGTGGTAAAGATATACAGCCCTTTGCTGCCCATGCTTCATTGCATTACAGGTCCCTCAGGTTCTACAGTCTGCCCCACCATATGGCCAGAAAACTATTATCCTCCAACCCGCTGTAGTTTTCTGCCAAAATGTGTATTCTGTTTCGTTTTGGTTTTCTTCTGTTGGCAGACAGAAGAATTAAAAGATATTTCTTCAGCTTGATAAAGGAACCTGAGCTGTTGTGCTTTCGGAGTGTTGAAAGGAACCTGCAATGCACTTCAGGACATGCTGAGCAGAGTGGGTTCCCTGCAGTGTTGTACCACCCGTATAGATTGTAGGTAACAGCTCGCTCAGATATTCTGAGGGATTGTAACAGCAGCCGGTGACTTTCCTCCTTGGAAGCTGACCCGTCTCCTTGCAAGGCAAGTGGTGAACACTGGCCTTTATGGAACAGTCTATGTGCAATGGAGGGAGTAGGTTAGATTTCTGTCAGAGTCAGCTTGTAGCTTCCCCCGGTCTCTTCAATCTGAAGCTGGAAGGTGTCTTCATTTGAATAGTGCCGAATGATGTTGTCATCCATGTTTACCAGGATCCTAGGGTGATGGAAGAAAATATTTAGAACCACAAACACGATCTCATTTAGTGGAAAACAAGCATCCAGCACGGAGAAGTAATAGCAGGTAGAGATCTGCGGTCGGGCAGTCACCATTAGAAGTACACTTAAGACTACATAAAAGATTGCTGGCTTCCACTAAAAGATGGAAAAAGCCTTTTATATTCTTTATTGGGTCAGTCCAGCTAAAAGTAATATTTCAGTTGCAGGTAAGGTCTGGTGTGCCAAGTCAGACCCGGGTTCTTATACTAGGTGAGCCCTACAGTACAAATTTCTTCCCAACATGATTCCGGTCCACTGGGGGGTTTTGGGGGGGTCCTGCCTACCTTTTTGCTTTTCAGCTCCTCCTTTTACATTCTACATAAAATTAAATAAAAAAACAGGAAGAATCTGAGCCGCTCATTGGCAGGTGGCCTATATCTCACCAAGCCCCTATGAGAAAAGAAACTGTAGCAGGGTTAGTCTCCAGCATCTACCAAACATTTACATAGTTTTGGGTTGACACTCCCTGTACTTGCTGGCTAGCAGTTATGTACATTGGCTGTCTTTAACTGTAATATTAACTGTAAAAAATAATCTAAAATCAACCTGCTCAGAATGATTGAAAACAGTCTCTGGGTTGTTTGTCCTGAAATCTCAGCAGTTGTTCCATAGGGGTGCTTAATATACATTTGGGACCACAGAGTGGATCAGAATGGTGGAAGGTGGGGGGGGACACCACTGTACTGCACCCCTCTTGCCCCTAGTTGTCAAGTGCCAATGTTGACTATAACAGCCCAGGGAGGAGGCAAAAATCAGAGTGGGAATGTTCCATGTGTTACTGAAAAAAGTAGTACAAATAGCAAATATTGCCACTTGTTTAAGAGGTTTCTAGTTCACTGGCTGCCATGTTCCTGAGCTTGCTTCAATACTCAGCCCTGGTTCACCCCTGTAGGAGTTTTTGAGCAGTTCAAAAAGCGCTTTTAACTGCACAACACCATAAATCCCATGATTTTCGATGGCCCTGGTTCACACCTGAGCAGAAACACTTCCATTGCACACAATGGTTTATGAACTGCGAATCAAAACATGCGTCGTTATGTACACACGTTAAAACGCACATACAAATGTGCATAACGCAGAAATAACCACATGCTGCAAACGCACATACAAATGCGCAAAAACTGTGGGGGCTAGGTGTGAACCAGGGCTCAGGGATAAAAAAAAACATGTTTTATCCAGAGAAAGTCCCTGTATACTTCTGGGTAAGGAACTTTCTGAACTGTGGAGTGGATGATCATTACAGCCAGGCAACCAGCAATTTTGCCATGCAGCACTCAATGACAGCTTAACTTTAAAAGCAGCCTGTGGTGTGAGCATCAATTTTATCCGGAAAGGAATTTTAGACATTCTAAAATACAAAATCCCAGCAAAGAATATTTTATTCTCCACTTGGGCTTTACAACTATGCCCCACTACGCTCAATGGCTCACAGTTGATAACTGGCTTCTGCCAAACCTGGCCCTAGACTGTAATCTCTGTATCAGTGGGCAGAGACAACAGATTGTGAGCTCCACTGGGGCAGCAACTAATGAGAAGCATTCTACCGACTTTGAAAACACTGCAAAATATGTCATTGTTGTTGTTATATTCGTATGGGAAATAAGTGATCATCTTCAATTAAAAACTGATATACGAATACACAACAATAAATCATCAAGCCATCTGCTTCCAGCAATGCGACGCCAAATCCTGCAGATACATTCATACAGCACGGAAATACTTACCCTTTTTTACATTTCTTAAAGATCTTTCCAATTTTCTCAAACGGAACTTCATATTTTTCTGAGATCTAAAAAAGTAATATAAAAAAACATATTTACTTCTGACTTCTATGTAGGTCTGGTAGTATTTTTAATAAGCCCATCAGTAAAAGTAACAGCTAGCACAGACCTAAATTATATTTACACTTTCGCCACCAAGTTGGGATAACACCTATTTAATATTTTTACCTATTATGTCCCTATTTATATAGCATATGGTACAAAAAAATAAAAAAACGTGCTTCTTGCAATGTATGTTAAAGTTAATGAGAGAAACACAATGCTTGAATTTCAGTCCTAAGTTCCATAAGGACAGATCCCTGTGAAGGTGCTCAGAATAAACCTGGAATCAGCCATGTTGCCTGATTGCAACAAAACATCTAAAAAGGTGAGAAATGTTTAAAATTATTTTTTGCTATGGTATTTTGTGTGAATATATAAAAACATAGGGCTTTTTCCCCCAAAATGGACTGCAAAAGTGGAAATACACTTTAACTGTTGATTTGTGCCTACCAGTAGCTTTTTTCCCCCCTTTTATTAGCTACTAACCCCCTCCCTTCCTTCTCCATCAGTCATGCAAGTCAAAACTTTATTTACACACCGTCTTAATATTATAAACCAGATGAGGACTTGTAAAAAAAACAAAAAAACACAACACAAAAAAACCCTTCTTATAGAACAGGTGATCAAGTAGAGGATGTTAACAATTGGCATCAATGTACTACTACTTTGTAATATGGATTTTGTAATATGGATTTTAAGTATATGAATCAGCAATAGCCGTTAGAGACAGTATACTGACATCTGGAGAACTATATGAATGTTACTACAAGTGGATTGTTTTATATTGAACTATGGGATTTTTTTATTATAATTAAATAAATATTTATTAAGTATATATATCTGAGTCCTTTCTAAACACACTCCATCACAATAGCAATATTGTAAATGATTCTTTGAAACAATTGGCATCAAAAGTTGTGTGTGTGTACAGGCCCAGTAATTGGTATCCAGCCCTGGTATTACTCAAAGGGTGCTTATTTTATTTTGACCTATATAACTAGTTGTCTTGCTCTTTTCAAATGGTGAATACTGTACAACTCCTCATCTTGAGGAATCCATTATATTTGAGGCAGACCTAAATTCAACATGAAGAATAAGGGCGGGGTCGGGGGGGTGAGAGTAGGAGGATTTTATTTAAATGGAGATTTTACCTGCCTTCTGCAGCAAGGACATCCTGGGGTGCTCTGGTTCCAGGTCAAGCACTGAAGTTAGTATCACCAGATAAAGAAAGATACTCTTAGCACTGATGCCCACGATGGAGAGCTGATCAAGGCCATGTTTAGGCCCCAAGACTGGAGAGCTAAGCTCTGAAGGACCTCCTTGTTACAGAAGGCAGGTATGTTTATGCTAAATTTTTACTCCTACTTGTCTCCCTGATGCTCCTTAAAAGAGCTTAGATATGTTACTAGATGAGTAGCTAGAAAGGTTCACATGAGAGCTTAGCAAACCTAAAAATTAAGTTGGGTGCAAAGATCTCACCCCGAGAAACAATGAAGACTTTTAGAACGATAGTGAGCTCAGTTAGGAGTATACATGGTATGGCTTTCCAGCTATGCCTTCCTATCATTAGGAAACACTGCCAATTGCCAGGATGGCAGGAGCAGAAATCATGAGCAGTGAGTTATCTGTTATAAATATTCTAGACATACAAGAAACAAGAGTCCATCCCAGAGAACCCATCAGGCTCCCCAATACCTTGAATGCCACTTTTGGGATAGACTACCCCTTAAGAATGGTTTATTAAAGACAAAACTCCATCAAATTCAACCTGCTTAAAATTAGAAATTTCCAACTAACCCTCCCCAGGGGGAAAAATAAGCCTTGGAATGGGGAATCCCTTTTCTAGTGACAGAATGCCAAGTCGATGTTTCTTGCAACCCTCACAGTGTGAAATCCTCTTCAGTCATCTCCTTATACTGGGCACTAGTAAGTTTACACAGAGTAATGGGGTCTCCTCTGAGATGCCTTACTCTAGTGTAAAGGTGCCTGGTTTGTGCCTGGCCTCATTCTCTAAAACAAACAACATGAAGGTTGGATACTTACAGCTTCCATCAGTCCTTTCAGTGATGGAGATTTCAGCATAAGAGCATCAAAAACTTCTTCCGTCTCTCTCCGCACATACAGCAGCACTACAACAGGAGAGGAGATACAAACTCTGTATCAGTATCCATCACCTTGCCAATAAACACCTTTCCAATTAGTCACTGAATATTACTTAACATGATAAATGAACATTAATTCCACAGAAGTATATTTGTTGCATGATTAGGCAATATGCACTGTGACACAGAAACAGATTAAACACGGCGAAGACAACGAGCTCATCACTGTTCATCATAAAACCCTCTATGATTGTGATTCTACTGTTTATAAAGAAGGGGTGGTGGAAACCTTGGTTGCGCACTGGTGTTCTGTGGCACTGCATTGGAGTAATGAGATGGAGCACTCTGTCTTGTTAGCAGTGGCAGTCTCCACATTCTACTTTACTACAAGTTTCCTTTAAGGTTCCCACACAGGTAATTATCATCCTACAAGGGTAATCTAAGACAGGCTCCTAACAGTAAGGCTATGTGCTGCACCCAATATAGAAGGCCAACAGGTATTGCTGTGCTTCTGAACAGCTGGGCCGGGATATGTGGTCTTGTAAGGGCCACATCAGTGCACAGATACATTAACACACCACAGTAGATAAAACAATTTAAAGCGCATCTAAACCCAAGAACAAAAATGTTATATATTGCAGCCAGCCAGTTCTTAGATGTGAGGCTACATTAGTCTTATTTTGCATCTATTTTCACCTGTGATCCTCGCTCACCCTTCTGTACCTATGGAGAGCAGGGCCGTCACCCTAGGGTAAGACAGTTAATCCTCATGTCCCATCGCACTCCTGACCGGAGAGAGCCCAATGCAGCCGGGCGGGTGAGGCAGTGACAACGGATTCCTCCGCAAAGTATAGATGAATAAAGGTAGTCACTCACACTCCAAAAAGGTAGTAAAGTCAATAATGTTTATTGACTCAAAATGATGCACATCTCGTTAGCGACGTTTCGGGACCGTGCGGCCCCTTCCTCAGGCAGAGGAAGGGGCCGCACGGTCCCGAAACGTCGCTAAGGAGATGTGCATCATTTTGAGTCAATAAACATTATTGACTTTACTACCTTTGAAGTGTGAGCGACTACCTTTATTCATCTAGTGTAAGACAGAACACATCCCGCTTACCTCTTCTACATAACATAGGGGGTGTTCTGTAGTTCACAGACAGAACTTGAAACAATGCTAACTCATAACAGTCAGCAGAGAACGGGTACATGGAGTTTTCAGCTCATTGAATATCTGGCAGGATCAATTGATTTTTTGGCATGATAACTGATGAAATGCTTTCAGTGGTATATTTACAGACAAAAAGGGAGCAAGTGAGAGAAGTTGATTGTTAGCGCTAACATACACTTTAAGATCCTTTCTGAGTTCTAATCTCTACAGAGACACCCATATGACCAGGAGTGTAGGGACTGGTCCGCTTTTACCCTATGCAATGCTCTTTACTATGTGGCTCTCCCTGTAATTCTCTTACAATGCCAAGGTATTATGGCCACGTATTACATAGGGAAGGTGAACGGTAAATAAGTGTAATTTTTAGCAAAGGACGAAAAAAAGTGAAGTGTATGCAATTTCAATTATACGTCTTCTCTGGAACCTCCATTGTTCCACCAACTGAATACCAGGCCTATAGCATACTGCTTTTTTTAAAATAAAAAATACCAAAACATAAAACCAGTGGAATGGAATAAAAATACAGTACAGTTGCTATGCTGTGGATTTTTCTGAGAAGCAGAATGTATATAAGAGGAAAGCCATACATACCTCTCTTTGGCTCATCTATTCTCAGGATCTTAGCGGGAGGCGTTGTAAAGTCTTCCTCCGGAGTGAAAGGCACTCTCTTCATAACAGAGCTGGACATAAACATAGGAGATATAAACTTTTCATTTTGTATATAGATGTGAAGACTGGTCTATATCACCTGTATTTGATATAATTTAATATTGTTTTGTTTTTTGTTTCAACCAGCCAACTGGACACAATTTATAGCCATTGATGTTTCCTTGCTAATTTAATGTCCATGACCCACTGCACTCCTGACCGATAGAAACCTAGAAAATTATGTTGCTGGGTGCTGCTGTAAGAAGCTAATGGTGCCGCTTTCATCAAGTTAAATGAGACAAGTCAGCGACACGCCAAACTCTTTAGTGAGAATTAGACATGGCATCACAAAGCTCATAACATTTTGGAGCCACAAGGGGTCCCTTCATCAGACACACAATGTGAAATCTATGTGAATTTGGAACCCCCTTGTGGCCACGAAATGTCACAATCTTTGTGATACCATGTCAATAAAGACGTTCTCACTGGAGGAGTTTGGAGCACTGGTGACTGGTCTCATTTATCCTTGCTAATCCATTCCCATAAAACAGAATGAAGATTGCCGGGAGCCTTACAAATGCTTTTAAGGGGCTGCAACCTTCTGTTTGGAAGTGGATCACCATTTCCAGTTCTCCGCCTTAGCCAGGATCTAAGCACAGGTACCGTATTTAGAACACCAAGCAGTCTTAGTGTTGGCTTAAGTTAGGAGTTGGGCTTGTGCTTTCATAAAAACAAAAGCAGTGAAAAGTGCAGCAAAGCTTAGCGTCCAATTAGTTTTATTTTGCTGTAGTCCTATCAGGCAGAAGCGAAAGCCTGGCCGCTATAGGAAATTGCAATTACACTTGGCACTGCCTGACCTCTTTTCCAAATCTTTACAAAGAAATCAAAAAAGGTATTAATTACCTTTCTCCATCCATCTCCTCTGATGAAAGGGGGAGCACCTGGAATATAATGGAAACAGAAATATACAAACTTAATATATAAATACACCATTCGTTTTCCAAGATTTGCATACTAGGACTTTACTATGAGCACGTCTTGCAGGAATCCAGAAAAAAAAATGGGCCCTTATTTGTAACCATTCTATTTGGTAACAATGCGGAGGCCTCCACAGAGACATTCCCTATTTAAATTTTAACATTTGTTGAAAAATGCAAATTTTCCTGCATCTGTTATGGTTTCCTTATGCACAGATTTGGTGATAAGGTAAAGTTAAAACACAGGTTGGGCCTGTAGTGGGAAAAGTAGCTGGTCTTATACTGCAACTTCTAGTTTGTGTTTTGTGGACTACACTTACACTATCACATTAGAAGACATCTTTAAAAAAAAATAAAAAATATTATTATTATTATTATTAATACTACAACCCCAATACTGCTACACATACTGCATCTGCAACAGCCTCCCATACCTCCTGACCGTTTCGGACAGCCACAGCATTAACACTTCTGGGTAGTGTTGGTACTTGCAGCCAAGCCGTGACCCCCAACATTCCTATTCCATCACTATGGTGGGCAGCTTTGCTAGCCAATAGGAATTTGAATGGGTCAGGAAAAGAAAGGCCAGCTTCCGGAATTTTTGGAAGTGCTGTTCTGTCAGCACTGGCACAGTTAATGGAAAACTGATTTGTATTCTGTAACATTTAGAACAGGAACTACAACTAGATACAATAAAAGGCCTAGTGCACATAAACTCACGTTATATAGGTTAGCTGGCAATTTTAATCCCTACATCCCAGGCATTTTGCTTTGAAGTGAAAAATAGGTACTGGGAACCGGAAATACTTACGTGAGTGGTGCGCTGGAGATTGGCAAAGTGTACGTCAGGGATGAACAGGACTGGCTGTGTGTCCATGTCCTGCATGGGTTTGAACACCGTGAGGTCTGTCCTCTTATGAGAGGGAAGCAGTGCACCTTTCACATCTGTAACTGCACAACAGAATAGAAAAGAATTGATCAATCATAGAAGCCAAAACTTGGTCTAAAAGTACTGCAAAAGCTTTAAGAGCGAAAAAACGAAACCTCTACCACTGTGACACAGACCGTATTAAAAACCTTAGAGATATACAAACCCTTCTTTTCATTGCTAACCATTTATATTTATTGCTCTATATGTCACCATTGGACAGATAATATCCACAAAAAAGGCAAAGATAGAACCCCAACACACATTCCAACTCTTCCCTAATCTATTCAAAAACAAAAAAAAGTTTTGGTTGGCGTTTCATTTTGATCTCTCATATTATAAATATCATGTAGAACACTCAAATAAGGGAGTAGCACCATCTCACTGGCTTAGGTGTAGGGGACCTAGATAGTCATGCTAGGTCATGTGCTGTGGGCAGCCCAGAGTACTAGCGATATAGTATTCATTAAAATATATTTCGGATATGCATTTCACATCATGCAGTCTGTCTTTACTCCCCAAATTGAATGCTTGCTTTACCCGTGGCTAGGCTGTGCTCAAAAATTAGTGTAGTGATGGTTAGCCATGTTCACACCATTATGTTCAACACAACACCTTCATCCATTTCCCTCTAAATGGACAATGTACCATGGCGTGTAAGAGTTTCCCATGGTGAGGAAACCATGGATGGCTTGCATCTTTACCAGCCTTCCTCTGCCTCCCCGTTCCCCTGTAGTCAATTTCCAAAAAAATGCCTTGCTGTAAGGGTAGGGGCAGTGCAGATCATCCTTAACAGGTAGACATAATTGCCTGGAAATTTTATTCTTTGAAATGTGACCATTGTACAGCGAGATCAAACCACCTGCGCTAGGGTCTTCACTCCATGGATCATAGTCAGACACCGATGTTTAAACTGTGTGTGTTTAGGGAACACATGAATGGAACTGAATTCGGTAGCAGTAGCTCAGGGAGCTTAACATTAACCTTTCCTAGAGAAATGTGGAGCCACCATCAACAATATCTAGTCAACTTGGTATTATACGGACCACTGGCTTCAATACTTTTGAGTCTCAAACTTAGAACAATTATACAAGTCAGGAGTCCTTATCCGCAGGCTTGTATGGGTCAGTCAATAAAAGTATTGATGCAGGGGAGTCTGTAGGACACCAAGGCAACTAGCATTTGCAGAATGAGTATTTAGCAATGGCACCCTCCATGTTTTTCATAGGAAATATTTGCTCTAAATTTTCCTTTTCACAGACTAATAGAAGAAAATCAGTAGCCATGTTGTCCAAAAGTCGCCCATCAGATGGCTAAATAACCATTACCATGAAGGGAAATAAAGGACTATAGGAGAGTACATACAACCATTAAAGAGTATGGTAATGGAGGACACGCATGTGGACCGTATCACTGATTCTGCCTGGAGTTCCTTTCTAAACAGGCCAGCGAGACACAATGGGACAATTGTATCATTTCTACTTACAAGCATTCATCTGGGAGCTGGGCTCAGTACACTTGCCTTTTCTCTTGCTCTGCTTACGCTCTTCATCTCGGATTTTACGCTCTGCACCCTACAATAGACAAAATCATCTTTAAATAGTTTTTTTGCAGCAGGACTAGAAATGAGACTGATGAATCATAGCGATGGGAAAAAAGCAAAAGCAGCTTGCAGCTCTAGAAGTCTAATTAAATGGTACATATGATGAAATCGACAAATAGTGTGACAGATCTGCCTCAAACAACCCAATGTATCTCACCTTATCACAGAAAACTTTGATCTGGCAGTAGGCCCGGTGGACGGGCTTGTTACTTCTGTTGTTGTAGCTGTAGGTGTCGATCTGGATGTTGAGTGGAAGCCCCTTCACCCCTTTCTGAGAAGAGAAGTCTGTGCTCAAACAGTTCACAGATATGAACACCTAAAGACGAGGAGAGACAGACATCAGTAATATGGTGACACATTTATAGAAGGACTTTAAATGAATGCAGAAAATGCATCAATTCTAAGTGATATGTACACACAGGAAAATAGTCACGCTCTAAATTTGAAGCGACACTAAACCTTAAAAATACCCTGTTTCCCCTAAAATAAGACCTACCCCAAAAATAAGACCTAGTACTATTTTGGGGAATTACTAAAATATAAGACCTACCCCGAAAATAAGACCTAGTTGTGGCCATTCCCAGGGCCAGTGGTGGCATAAGGGGGAACTTGAAGAGCCGCAAGAGAGAATCAGCAGTGCCAACGAAGCCAGCGCTAGAGGAAGTGAGGCCGGCTCCTGTCACAGGCAGAGTGATATCAAATGCACTCTGCCTGTGAGGAATCCATGGTGAAAGCGCGCTTCGCTCATTCTGGCCAGCGATTGGTTAGCAAATTGCTCTTGGAAAGGTACGGCACCCCTGATTGCCCTGATCACCATATTTTTTGTACATTAATAAGCAGGGATTGTTGTACATTAAAAAAAAAAAAAAAAGAAGAAGACCTACCCCAAAAATGAGACCAATTGTGTTCTTTTGAGCCCCAAATTATATAAGACAGTGTCTTATTTTCGGGAAAACACGGTACAGTCAAGTACCTTACCTATTAACAAAAATATATCTTATTGGCCATTTTTGTTCCCCATAGTCCCTGTATGTGTGTTTTAAAGTAAAGTAGTCACCGCTCCAAGCTCGCTCCTGTGATGGACCACAATCTCACGTTTAGTTAACTAATTTGTATTGAGATTGTAGTCCATCACAGGAGCGAGCTTGAAGCGGTGACTACTTTACAACACACAGGGACCATGGGGAACAAAAGTAGCCACCCTCCAGAAAGGATGACAGTGTCAGCACCAGTTCAGGCCCCGTTCACACCAGGGTGGTTGGGTCGCACGGATTTGTCCAGGCTGAACCGCCAACATAAACAATCCCATACATTCCTATGGGGACCGTTCATGCAACCGCGTGGCTCTGTGGGATCCGAACCGCTTGTCGCCCAAAATGCTCTGAGCTACTTTTCTCGCACGTTTTCCTTATAGAATTAAATGGAAACGCACTGATCAGCGAGTATTTAAATTGTATTTCAGCGCTGAAACGATTCAATACGCCTAAAAACGCCATTTCAAAAATCGCGCTGAAACGAGATGATTTGAGGGTCTACAGCCGAGTGATACACAAATAAGATAAATTTTTGGTAATAGTTCAGGTACTTGAATGTATTTTTCAGATTTAACTCCTGAGTTTAGTATCACATTAAGACAATGGGGAGATGATGCAATATGGCAACGGTGACACTTTTCTGGCATTAGTGCCATCTCTGAAAGGTGACTGCTTTATAGTAAACACCTTTCTGCGATGGCCCTGCGCCAAATTCAGAAAAGCAGTGTGGCGTTCTAATGCCATTAGGGACTCATGCGAAAAATTCAGGTAAATTCTTAATAGCAACACTTTTCCATTATGTCGCAACGGCTGCAACATAAAGAAACCGCTGATACAGAGATGAGGAAATTGGCGGTAAATAAGATCATTTTGGAGTAACTTATGTTGAGAGTGAGGAGTTTGTCATCATCCATCCTCCCCCATGTTGTTGTTGGTGGTGGTGGTTGCTGGGTCGCCAGTGTCCTACCAGCCAACGAAGCTAGGCTGCTACCCCCACACTGCAAGGGTTAAGTGCTTGTTTAAGCCCAGGGTCTAAAATAAAAGATGCTAATCCTGATCCTCGATCCCGCAATGGTGGTGTCTCACCTCTCTCCCCCTCTGACTGAAATGCCCCTTGACGTCCTCACATCCAATGCGTAAATGGATGTGATGATGTCAAGTGTCTTTAGACCACCATAGCCTGGGGGAGAAGAGGTTGCGGGGACCAGGATAGGACCAAAGATCGGGTAAGACTATCTGCTTTATTCTAGACCCTAGACCAAAACGAGCAATTAACAGTAGGGAAGCCCTACTGCAAGAGTTCATTTTCTACATGCCCTGAGTTGTTCTTCAATTTTGGGTATTTGTAGATGTGCTTTTTCTTCTGTAGTTACTTATTTGTAAAAATATTTCAACTACAATTAGGCTTGGAGATATTGGTTATAGAACCTTCACAAAGTTGCAGCGTATGGATGTACTGCCACCTGGTGGTTGGCACTGCTGTGTTGTTACAAGTCAGGACTGCTTTGTACTAAATGTCAGCATTGGGGCTCATGCATACAACCATAAGAAATGCTGCATTCTTATCAGTACAGAAGTTTTTGCTTAATGGATCTGAACACAGATTCTAGATTCTATCACAGTATATCAGTTTACATCAAAACTGACCAAAATCAATTGTCACAAAGGGAAGTACCGATACTTTTCCTCAAGTACTCACCGATTCCCGTTTTTTTTTTTTTTTTAGGCTCGTGACAGTTTTTCTATAACAGTACAAAACTAAGGATTTTAGGACAGTAGGACAGAGCCGGGACTACAAATCTCAGCAACACATTATACAGCAATGCAGAATACCATCAGCTATAGAGGACTACAAATCCCAGCAAGACATTATACAGCAATGCAGAATAGTGGTATATGAATTTGCTACATACTCTGGGCTGCTGCTCTGCTCTGGGGTGCCAGCCTGATGTTTCAGGAGAGGGACATGTGCAGCAGGCCTCAGGAGGAAAATATTTGCGGGCGGTGAAAGTGCTGTAAACAGATGCCGTGTGGTTCCCAAGAAGGCTTTCGTGAGGTCCGCAGCAAGCGGGGAATCTCAGGCAGCCAAATCAATTTGAAACATTAAAGCGTCACTATTGGGTTTTGATATCAGGTCATGTTCACGAGCATGAGAAAATGCCCAGTATCAACACTGATACTGGCACATCCCTAATATAAAAATCCTATTTGTGTGTACCAAAGGTCTTTGCAAACCCTTTGCGTCGGTGCACATTACCAAGGTGTACCTCTGGCGCTGGTTCTGTCTGGTGTCCCGCTCAGCTCACTGAAGTCAGTGGTTGACAGGAGCTGGGTGGGACATCAGCCTGCGCAGCCCGCTCAGCTTCTGGTAACACTTGAGGCAGGATAGCATTTGTAGCTTTACCACATTTGGAGTGCCAAGGGGCGCTACCCCTGCTTAAAAAGCATACTGAAAATACTAACAAACATCTTTGGGCAAAGAGATTGAAAAGCAGAGATCACCCTGCAGAGACTTGGAGAAAAACAAAAGAGAATTCTGAAGATCGAGTAAACTGCGCTGTGGACGGATCTGAAGAAGTGGTAAAACTGGTTAGTGAAGTCATCGGTAAGTGACGTTACTGGGTAACAAGCCATTGGACGACTCGCAGGCCCAACCCCAAGAAACAATCCTCAAAGCATCTTCAGCTTGTTTAGCAAGATTCCTCCTTGGAAAGGCAACAAAAGCAAAATGCAAAGCAAAAGCGTAATAACCCGGTTAAGCCTCATTCCTCCTGCATGGTGAAATAAACACAACTTGGTTGTACGCGTTTCAATACAGACCTAAAAATAATGCAATAAAATATATACAGTGGAGCACACACACACACACCAAATATACATGTGCCATTCATAAATGTCTGTGTTTCTTAAACCATTAAAAGGGTATCTATGTTCAACAGTAAAATAAAGCTTCATTTCTATATTGAATTTCCATAAGTTCTACCACACTTCTAATAACTATTTCCATCTAGAAGTTTGTAAACTTGCTTATTGAAGATGCCCATAGGATGTAACCTCTCAATGCAGTGACACAATCTCACTCAACTTCCTTATGTCACAACTCACACAGAGCCTGCCTTCTGAACTACAATTCAATGTCTGACAATGTAACATTATCATTGCTTGCTGGAAGCAATGCATTATGGGATATGCAGTCTTGAGAAATGGAGATTGCATCACATCAAGCAGCAGGGAAATAGATGCAAAGCACACTGGGAATCCAGGAAGTTGATGGACAGACGGAAGACAGCACTCACTACATAGTAGGGATTTTATTAAGTAAGCTTTGATTACAACTCTGGTATGTATTCCTATTACAATGCCGATGTTATAACAGGATAGGATATGCTGGGACTTTACAACTCCTTTAGATGTTTTTTTTATTTTTATAATGCATGCAGTTTAAGTACCCGGCACACAGAGAGAAGCAGCACAAGGAGCCAGTCAGTGCTGCAGTGTACATGGGATGAGAAGGAGAGAGCAGAGTGACAGAGATAAGTCAAAATGATGTCATCAACACAAGCCAAAAAGCCTGTCGACAGAAACCCCCAGGCGCAAAAATGCAGAGAAGACACACAAGACATCACAACTATTTTCAGTTTCTAGGGGTGATCTGTGCCTGATTTTGGAGTATGCAGGGTTTATATAAAAAAAACAACAACAAATCTTTGGCCTCTAAGGGCAATGGGCAATATTTAAACAAGACACGATATTCTAATTATTCGAGTTTCACCTGTATAATGCAATTTGACGTGCTTATTTTGTGCACACATATATACAAATAACATATATAATACAAAATCTATCTCACTAGAGGGTGCGAGCGAGGGCAAGAAGCTATATGGGGTTTTTTTTTTGTATTCTATACAATATTAAGTGTATTTTTTATGACTAGGAATCCCCGAGGCCGGTGCACCGCGTTCCTTGCCTCCTCTATATGATTCCATCACCATCAATGACATTCCGCCTTTCCCATTTCACAATATAATCTACAGAACTACTATGAAGAAAAAAAAACCCACAGGCAACGCCTTATTATAAGGAAGGGTGTTTCATTGATGTGGGATCCCTTTAAATGACACGCCTTGATGTTCACAGTCACAGGTACCAAGCCAATTAGTGATTAAGAATGAACACACAGTGATACACGAGTACATAAAACGCTGCAATTAACCCTTTCACAGCTGACCGAGCCAAAAGTGGGTCACTGAAATTTATGGACAGGTTCCATATACTTCCCCAATGACTTGTGGAAGAGTCACCTACATGACCAGAGCTCATCCCTACTCATTATCCCCGTCCTTGTACTGGAATGTAAATGACATGTACAGCTGAAGTGATAGTGTCATCACTAAGAAAATTATACAGGTCACCAAATGTGCAAAGGAAGGCATGGTGGACGTGGCCTAAAAATTCCAGCATATAAGCTGTTCTGATGCACGAGATACCAGTGAGGTCACCGGTACCTTGTCAGAGACATCCGGCAGAGTGTCAATGATAGGGATTCAGAAAAGAACATGGAATGCAGAGGAACATCCCACAACTCTAGGCAAATGGCTAAATACACAGATAAGACGCACATACAGGAGCCCTTTCACCTGCCAGATTTGGATTTCTGTGTAGCCTGTCCCGAGACCTACACAGCTCTGGCGCGTACCACCTGCCCCCTGGCAGGGCAGTAGACCTGGTTTTTCTCTGCTGCCGTTAAGTACCCCAGGTCCAGTCTGCTCTCACCCACAACCTGTGACCGGACAGTGAAAGAAGAAGAAGCACAGCAGAGGGATGAGCCAATTTCTCAGATAGGAGTATGCAAGGAGGAAAGCAGCAAGAGCAGAATTTATAAAGTCCAGATTAGATTTTATACAGATTCTTAGATCATAAACAGCCGACTTGTTTCGGGGTTCTAAGGGTCCCCCTTCATCAGGGCTTGGTACTGATGAATGAAGTGTGTACCGGAGCAATCCTGAGAGGTAAGGAGTACAAATTGCTCCAGATGTCAGTTCAGCAACCAAAGGCCCATGGTGATAGGTTCAAGTGCATGTTTCGGACATGTACATAAATCTGCTGCACGTAGTGACAGTCGTAGCGCACACATCTATGATACACTTCATGAAACTCCAGGGAACATTCTTAGGATTACAGAAAAGAATGGCTGCTAAAAACCATACAGGATTTATATAGAGCCAGCGGTTTCAGCTTTGCAAAATAAAAAAGGGAGACAAGTGGGGTTAGGAGGGCCCTAATCTACTGGAGCCAATCAGAAATCTGCTTTAGCCTAAGCTGGCATACCAAAAACATCATGTAGAACAGGGGTAGGCAACCTCAGCACTCCAGGTGAAACTACAATATCCATCTTGCTACTGCGAGTCATCCCTGTGGCTGTCAGAGTCTTGCAATGCCTCGTGGGAGTTGTAGTTCCACAACAGCTGAAATGCCGAAGTTGCCCACCCCTGACCTAGAATCTGACTGGTAGCCCAGTCCCTCCGGCCTAGTTTTGTCTAAAAGCCTGAGGCTTTCTGTCAATGCACAGGTTAAAGCATTCCGCGTTCATCATACGCGTCTTTTCCTTTACCCTCATCCTTGTATTTGGCGATTGGATTACAAACAACCTTCAGGAATCCCTGCAGCGTTTGTTTATGAACGCTCCCAGGCGCTCACTTCATAAAAGCGGCCCATTGGCCCCTTTACAGCGGTGCAGCTTCAACAACCCACCACCAGAGGAGGAGCAGAAAGGCTGAGCGGCTTTGTGTAGGAGCCTAAACCCTTCAGCTGCCATTATATGGCCCACGGTCACGAGCAGATTTGCCCCATTGCCATCCCATAGAAGCAGACTCCCCACAGTTCCCTTTACCCCATCTGTACATAACTAGTTTGGGAGAATATATACTATTATACCACAAACAAACCATTTCCATATAAAAGAAGGAGAAAAAACAAACAACCAACCGCTGTTCAGCGAAACTTTCAATCAGATGGACGTGTTTACATACAAGCAGCGTGCACAGCCTCTTGTCACGACAAGTCCCTGGTTTACTGGGAAGGATTAGGTTATTTATTAGAAGATTGGGGGAGAGCATTACGATAAAGAAGAACACAGTCCAAGATCAAAAACCTTCCACTCCTAAGGCAAGGTGGCTGTGCGTTTATGGAGGACTAAAAGTTTACAGCATCAGTCCACCTTCTGAGGACATTTTGCAGATTATTGTAGCACGGCACAAGTTAGAGCAGAACTTCTCATAGACCGTTTAAAAAAAATTTTTTAAGAAAAAAGTGCATTTATTATCATCATTTTTATTTTTTTTGCATAAGAGCCATTAAAGCATTGCATCTACCATCAGTAGATCACATGTGCAATGCTCTGGCTCCTGCAGACTGTTGTACTGTGATCACATCAGATGTGATCACTGTACAATTGTCAATGCTAAAGCCTGATGAAGGGACCCTGCGCGGTCCCGAAAGCGCTTGCGTTTGGTCATATGACAAAAAACTTCAATAAATGAAGCTTTTGCTATCTTAATAGGACTGGTGTGCTGGTGACTTTTCTACAATTTCTACAATTTTGTCCCCATGCTTGAATCCCATTGAAACTGCAAGTCCCTCTGCCACAGTAGCGGATGCTGGAAGGGGGGATTGCGATCTGACCCATGTTTCATGTTATATCCCAAGTATGGTTGTACCATGAAACATGGGCAGCAAGGTAAACTTTAAATTAGGGATGCACAGATACCGGTTTTTCAGTATCGAATGCAAGTACTGATTTATTTATATTTTTGAGTACTCACCGATACCCGAAGTCCTATTAAGGAAGCCAGATGGCATGTAATGACTTGCTTCCTGATTAGCCGGGAAGCCGTCTCCATGCTCCCTCGTCACCTGGTGATAAGGAGCATGGAGATGGCTTCCTGGTGATGAGGGAGCATGAAGACGACTTCCCGGCCAAATCAGGAAGCTGGGCGGCATGTAAGGACTCGCCACCCAGCTTCCTGATACCGGAAGTTCCAGTATTGGGATAAGTATCAAGAGCATTTGGGCGAGTACTCGCCCAAATACTTGGTATCGGTGCATCCCTACTTTAAAAATAGATTTCTAAATACTCACTGTTTAAGATAAAATGTATTACAGCCCAGCCTCTTCTCCCCTAGACTCCGGCGGTCTAAGGACCCATGGCGTCATTACATCACATCTACTGCAGGCCCATCAAGTTGAATTAGACGTGTGGGCACAGAGGGACATTCCACATCCAGAGTGGAGAGGTGGGGAGAGGTAAGTATTGACCGAGGATCAGGTGATGCTTTGACTCCCCTCAACAAAAGGAGCACTTTACCCTTGCAGTGCGGGGGTAGCCCCACAGCAAAGGTAATTTTTTAAATGTGGCCATACATACACATTAACTGGCTAGAGAATTTGTAAATCTGTTGAGCATGTCTTGCTGGTCAAGAAACACTTGTTCAGTTTAAAGCTTCCCATTCCCTCTACCTCCAGCCTGTTCAGTACAATTAAATCAGCATTGTCACCTCCATCCAATGAGTAGAGAGATGACTCGGGCAGCTGTAATCCTCAACGAGGAAATTAAAAATGATATTCTTGGCTATTTAGTATGGCCTGGGCATGTTAAAAAAAAAAAAAAAAAACAAAATCACAAGCAACTCAGAGAAGTCATGATTTGCATTTTTTGGGTCAGTGGTTTAAAAAAGTCCTTCAACTTGAGGGTTAGAAGTACAGCCATGCAAGTAGTATCTTAAATAAGGAGATATCAGCAATGGTAGCCGCCATGTTTTTCTCATGACAGGTTTCCTTTAGTCTATTTACAACTAATAGCAAATAAATACCCCATGACCCAGCCAGAGGTGCCCCCATGGGTAAACTACCAGGGTTAGGCAGCCTTGGCACTCTGCTGTGCCAAGTGAGGAAACTGCAAATCCCATGAGGCATTGCAAAACTGACAGGCAGATGCATGATGAGATGCAGTGTCACCACAGCTGGAAGGCCAAGGTTGCCCCTACCCCTCCTTTATTCTATAGTCTGCAAGTAAAAAAAAAAAAAAAAGAAGTAAATGGCATTGTGAATGCAAATGAGAATGTATAGCAAAAAATTTAAGTAGCTACAGCAATAAATCAGGTCACATATTGATGGTGGAGTGCACAGCAGTAATTACAGCTTAGGACGGTCATAAATACAAACACACCCAGTTTAATAAGGAGACCGGGGAAAAGGAAACACATGACGAGTCTGCACATACCTTGCCTTCATCATTGAGGTCCCAGGTGAAGGAAATGGCGTTATAGGCGATCTCTTCAATGTTGCTGATGGTGTTGAAGCTCTCTTTGTAGTCGGCTGTAAAACAATCGCAGAAGTTCGGTCACATGCGGAAATTTTGACAACTGCATAGTGATTGATCCGGCATCAGGGAAAGGGTGCATATGGCAGGTATCAGACGGAGAAACTGAAAAGGTTTTATAAAGCTTCAAAAAGGATCAGATGAGCTAGGGATGGACCATCACTGCTTTGTTTGCAAGATCTACATCCTGAGTTTTGGTTATTGCTTCCCTACACCATGGAGTCTCACTTCTTTGGCTGTACTTTCCATAAATGTCAAGTGAGAAATGCAACATGAAGAGTAAAGGCTACCACCCATGGACTGAAAAGAGAACTCAAGTACAGAGATCTCGCCACCAGCTTCCAAAAGATATACGGACAATACAGTTTTCACCTATTGGTGAACTCAGTTCTGGATAAACTGGCATATTGAAGAAGAACTTTAGGAACAAAAAAAACCTCCTTGCAGTCAGGTTAACAGCTAATTTTGTGTAGGCTCATAGAAAGCTGTATTACTCACCTGATCCTCGGTCCCTCGGCAGTCAGTTCTTACCTCTCTCCCCCCTCTGCTCCGGCTAGATGTCCTTCGGCATCCTCACATCTAATGCAAGTCAATGGACCTGCATCAGATGTAGTCCCCCCAGGCTGCTAAGCCGATCCCTGCAGCCTCTTCTTCGCTGGGCTCTGGTGGTCTAAGCCCCAGTGACGGTCCTTACACCACCAGAGCCCAGGGGAGAAGAGCCTGGTGGGACTGAGGATCAGGTGAGTATATTGGCTTTATTCCAGCACCCAGGGGGTAGCTCCACTCCAAGGGTAAGTTTTTTAAAGTCCGTCCTTCTTTAAATAATAAAAATAGAGACATGCCATCATGTGCGTTTCCTGTTGTACTGTGACCCAAGGTATAAATACAGAGGGTGCGGCTTTTCTGGGGCCCAAACTAGACCGCCAGATGCGCGCTATAAAACAAAAATGGGATCCGCTATTCCACAACACCATATAAAACACAAAAATGGTTCACACAATGTAACGAACATGTATCTTTTAGACCATCACATCAGGACTTCACCTGAATGGGAGGGAAACACTATTTTCTAGGGTTGAAACATTTTATATTGAAAATAATAGAACTGGAACATATATTTTGATAAAAGTATAAAGTCTATGAGATATATTGCAGTTGTGACATATACGGAGTTATATAGAAAGAAATAATGAATAACAACTACATATGTATTAACGCAGTATTGAATATTGGTTAACTTTCGCCAAGCTGGGAAACACATTTTTAGTTGTCTTTGAGAGAGTGTGTGTGTGTGTGTGTGTGTGTGTGTGTGTGTGTGTGTGTGTGTGTGTGTGTGTGTGAGATATTTGTGCATCAAATCATTAAAGTTTGGGTACTTTTGTGAATATACTCAGAATTAGGCCTCATTCACACAAGGCGTGTTGCCCTGCACCTGTTTTGTGATGCCCCCAGAGCTGCGGGAAGAAACGTGTGGGCAGCTCATTTAACGCTTTGGAAGGGGTGGGCAATTCTGGCCCTCTAGCTGTTGTGGACGTTCCATGAGGCATTGCAAGACTGACAGCTACAGCCATGACTCCCAGAGGCATGTTGGAAATTGTACAGCTGGAGGGCCAGGGGTACCCTCCCATGTGAATGACGCCTTGAAGAATTTTTTTCAGGTACGTCTCCTATTAGAGGCAACAATTATAATTTTTGTAGAATTCTCTATGATTTTGCCCATTAAAAGCTTACCGATATCGATACATCTCTGCTTGGCAGTGTGCTGCCTAGAATGCCAGTATTTCCAGTGACGAAGCTGGTCCTCTCTACTTTTGTCGTCAGCAAACACAACCATGATCACACTCTGGAAGAGACAGCAAAGAGCAAAATAAAAAAAAGGAACATCCAAAAATTATTTTCTATGCAAAGTATCGGTGGCTGGGCAACTGGTATTGGAGGAAAACAAAGCTGTATCTTGTTATAGGGCCCTCGGGGAAATATGGCGTAAGGCCAAAATGTACAATTTGTGATTCCATACAGATTTTATTGTTCCTCATGTGGACAATCTGGACACTTGTGTGCAAGCTAAGCAGCACAAATGAACAGGATGGGGGTGGCATAGCAATACTCTTTGTAGCTCAAAAAGAAAAAAAAAAGAAAAGTTCCTTGAAAAGACAACTCTTCCATATCAGCAGATCTTTTTTTGTGTTCTATTATGTTGCTTTGAGAAACAGGTACAAGTGTGTACAAGATTAGAACGCCATGATGCAATTCACAGAATGTTTTTTTTTGCCATAATGTTTTATTGGGAAATCGATACTGGCAATTACAAAACATTATGTAGGTCAGAAGCCCTGTGACATGTACACAGGAAGTGGCTGTCAAATAATTGCACCTGTTTTACTGTCAAATAATTGCACCTGTTTTAGAGACAAAATTTGCCCGAAGGAAGAACATTTAAAGTCAAGGAACTTTACCGTCTTGTCAATAAAAAGGACTTACCCGGACTTTGCTGATTGGATGGTGTATCCCTTTATTGCTGCCAGTCTCCTTCAGTGTGATTGGGTAGAATTGTCCCTTATTCAGGTAAGTCATTGTGCTGTCTCCAGGCTTTGGTCGCAAAGACTTTGAGGCTTCAAGTGTATATTCAAAGTTATTCCTATATATTAATACAAAACAGATTACATGGATGTAAGAAAACTAAAAGACAGATGTACACGTTAAAACGCATCAAAAACCCAAAAACAAATTTAATATATTGCAGATTATCAGTCCTTAGATTTGGTGGCTGCATTCGTCTTCTTTTTATAGGCCAATTCTCTTCAGTTTAACTTGGTGATCCTGTGATTGACACTTCCTGTCTTTGGGTGGCTACGCTTACTCTATGGAGGGAGCCATGTTTGCCACCAAGGCTGGACTTTAAAACACGTCTGCCTTGTTCATCTCCATTACATGCGGGATAGGGAGATGAGTAGATTAAAAGAAGTTATTTAGAACATTGTTTTATGCTTTCAGGCCAGCTCACAGGAAGGGACAAGAACACAGCATTTTGGTAAGATCTACAGGTATTTTCTGTACTTGTTGATTGTTCTTGGCTTGAAGAATGAAAATGAATGCAGCCATCGCATCTAAAAAAGGGACTAGTAAGCTGTAATATATACAATTTGATTTGTGTTTAGTTCGCCTCTAACCAACATAATTCTAACCACAATTCCTCCACTCTATACAATGCCAATAGCCCAATGCCAACAGTTTTTACCTGAAACAGGAGCTGCAATGGCAGAGTACACCCAGCTGTCCCTAAGGGAGAATTCTGGTACTTCTGCTAGTTAAAATACAATGGTGATGTATCATCATGGGCTCCATTTGACCCAATTGTCAGACTGAAAACCCAGCTGCTGCTTAACAGAGGGTTTTAGGAATAGGGACACCTCTCAACTACTACACCGTGTGGTTCAAATCCCTTCAATGGATGTAATGTACTGCAGTTAAAAAAAAAACCCTTCCATTAATAAAAGTAAAAGTTTTCAAATTACCCAGCGACAGGATCGAAAGCGTATTCATCAGAACTGACGCTACTCATCCGTAGGTTGAGGTCCGGTGGAAAGAAAACCTGAAAACAAACATTTGATTTAACAATGAACAAAAGGATACATAATAAGCAAAGGGCAGTGTTCAGGAATGAAGCTGTGCTAATGTCGCCACTCTTAGCAGGGAGAAAAAAAAAAAAAAAAGATTCTAAACTAGTCTACAGACAGGGGATGGTCATCACCATATTCAGCAGATCCCATCTATGGAAACCATAAGACTATTTCACACCCCTGGCTAACTGATTCTGGGGATTGGGGGGCAAGGACTGAATAGATGGACAGACTAAATATTCACGTTTACAGAACAATCATTTTGAAGAAAAATCTTTGGTGGAGGCAGATTGTTCCTGCATGTCCATAAACTTTCTCTACAGCAGATGCTTGCATGTCAGCTTGTACTGCGGTCTCAAAATAAAATGGCAAATCCTCAGGCATACTTAAAATGTAGCCAAAGTGTAGGGTGGCGGTTTGAATATAGTGGGTGATATGCAGGGCGTTATCTGCCCCCAACTCGATCATCATAAATATTACTATTTATTGATTTATATTCGGAGCACAGGTCCAAATATTTATATACAAAACAAATACGGCCTAGGAAATCAGAGCACCTAATGAATGCCTTTGACACAAAACAGTCAAAAGAACAATTTGCATTAGCCAAAATATCAACCAAGTCAGCAGTTCTGTTCTGACCAGTTGCCATTATTAACTGTACACCATAAGCCTGAAAATTGTATTCAGAGAATTGCGCTGCATGTTAGTTTGTCTGCAAAAGCATACACTGGACCATAAATGTATTTTAAAGCACACTCTGTAGACAGAGCTGCATTCCAAAAAGCAGAAATGTCCCCGATTGCAATAGCCCGAAATCGTAGCAATAAAATATAATGAGATAATTAACCTCTTCTTTGAAAGTCTCTGAGAAGGTAGTGTCGGGGGTTCGCCTCTGAGAGCTGGGTGGTTGGCTGCTGGAGCTGTAGTGGTCAGGGGTAACATTGCGATCAAAGGACACAATGCGTTCCACGGTCTCAGCGTGGTAGACATTTGGTGGGATGCCCACAGTGAATCCATGGCTTTGGGATTCGGACTTGATGGCATGAGTTGGCATTGACGTAATGGAGACTGTAGCGGTGGTGTCTGGAGAGCTCAGATGTCCTCTTTTGTCTAGATGGTTGCCAATCGGGAGGACAATATTAAAAGGCACATTAGTCTTTAGAACCTGGACTCTGTTGTCTCCAGTACAAATTAAGGACTGTTCATTCACTTGTGCCAGGCTATTCCTTGAAAAGAAAGAAATAACAAAATTTAAAAACCCACAAGGAAGGTAGATGACAAAAAATAAAATCCAATATGACTGTGTTACCAGTTCTACTTCCAACATGCTGGTTAACATGATCATACCTTTTGGTTGCCTCACCCAAGTGTAGATAAGAACCACTGCCTGCCTTCCAACTAAAAGAATTATACAAATACTACATTTGTCATCATGAGACTTTATAATCCACTTTGTTAGTAAATTTATGATGTACAGATTAACATGAACACATTACACATTTTAATCTCACAAAAACCTTGTAAATAATATATCTTCCCATCTGCTACACAGCATTATTCTTTGCATGTCCATTTTGAAATTTCACAAATTCAGAAGCACTGTGAAATACTAAGGCAACAGAAGGTTTGGACTTCAATAGGTCATGCAAAAGGCAACGCTGTAGTCAAAACAGCCGTAATCCACAATAAGCAAACCTCCATTTTCAGAGTTTAGACTGTTGAAAGAATTAATAATAATAATAATAATTATTATTATAACTGGTCGCTATGGATTACAGCAATTTGCTCCAAGCCAGGCTGAAGGAACTTGAAAGATCAAGGATAACGACAGGATGTAGTAATTGGCTTGTGAACACACTGTAGGCTATAGATGTAGACTAGGCCAAACTATCACATTAGCTTGCTGCCCACAAAGACCTCAAGGCTTTGGCTTTCTATATTGGGAATCTAATTGGGCGTTGAATAGATTTGTATATTACACACTTGAATTAGACACCTCCTCATAACTAACCTTTTATTGTGTTCTGACTCTGAATGATCATGGTCTTGTTTGTTGGCTGACATTCTTCTTTCTCTAGGAACCTTAAAAAACAAAATGCATTGATGTAGAGCTGTTAACAGGATGGTTGTGAATGAAAATTCTAAAATATATTTATTTATTGCCTAAAGAGAAAGAAACCTCAGCCTTCACCCATGTTCCTCAAACTCAGTCTATGAATTCATAATGGCCTTCATGATGCAATAAAAGACTTTAATATCACTGCCTCAAACCTTAAAAAGGAGACCATTTCCTTAGAAGCTATTTGCCTAATATCTGTGAATATTGAATCAGGTCATACAGAGATGCCCCTGCTTTGTATAGTGGACAGGCTATATTGTCTTTTCAGTATAGCAAACACAAAAATTATTAATAAAATGGTTAGAAAACATCAGCATGGGCCAAGCATCCCAAGTGGGATTTACCTCTTTGGAGTTTGTATGGGTTACCCCAGGTGCTCTGCTTTCCTCTTCAAATCCAACATTATACTGAAGGGCAAATTGGCTCTACTGCATGCATTAGAACATTAGAATAAGAGCTCCTACAGGAGGACAGGTTCAATGTTCTCTATATAGTGATGCATATTACGTTGAGACTATACAAATATGGGAAATAAAAAAAATACAAACCTTGTAGTAGTCATAGAGGAGGCCAAGCGCTGCTGCACTGTCCTCATCTCCATTGATACTCATCATGGCCTTAGTGGCTGCTGTCAGGGGGTTTTCCAAAAAGGTCTTCCAAGCCTCGTCCTCGCTGGTGTACGATCGCCTCTGCTGATACAGGGGGTCATTCTGAAGCACCAACACAGGCCGCTTACTACAAGGAAAAAAAGGTTGGTGTCAGAATCAGAATAAAATTATATAGGGATTATATATATTATATTATTATAGGTTTACATTTAAAAATAAGTTGCAGAACCAAATTTTATTCCAAGTATGCGAAGCATTCCAGTAGTCTTAAAAAGAGCTAACAATTTGCAACGATTATAGTTCCTCCACAATACAAACTTTACCAAAATTGCATTTCAGATCATACTCTGATACTCCCAAATTGTCTACCCTGCAGAAACCAGCTTATAAAAATGTAGCAGCTTTTAATGGCTTCCTAGATATTGGGTCACAGACTTGACAGTTAATACAACCAAAGTCATTCGCAAGTGCTGCCATTTGCAAGCAAGGCCAAC